ATGTGATGTGACTTACTTCCTAACAGATTCCCGAAAAGCACGGGTGTGCCAGAACACAGAACTCGACACAGAGCTTTGGCTTGGCACCCACCTCCCCCCAGCCTCTGTCCCACACACGGTCATATATATAGTGTTGAATTCAGGGTTGGCTTCCCCGCCCCGGTAGCCCTGGCACTTGGCTCCAGATCATTCTTTGTGGTGGGGACGGTCCTCTGCAATGCAGGCCATCTGGCAGCATCCACAGACCCCCAGGATGCCAGGAGCACCACCATTCCCCTCCCCCATGCTGTGACCACTGAAAACGTTTCTAGAGGTTTCCTTGAAGGTAGTGGGCAAAAATGCCCCCACTGAGAATGCTTAGCCGACTGCGAGATTCTGGAGTTCACTGGAGTTATGCCAAGCACAACTGCCATAAACCACCACCGCCCTTGTCCTCACCTCTGAAGACGTCCCCTTTCTTTGGAAGCCAAGCGTCATCCCCATCTCCAGGTCTAGTCCCACCTGCCACGGCACCCAGTTCCTCATCAAGACTGAAACACCTCTTTTCCAGTGTCTTCCCTTTACATGTGCCCAATTCCATTTTTCACTGGCTTTCAGCTCACGTCTACAGTCTTCGATCACGTGGCGGGTTGTCAACAAGGACTTCAGAGCCACACGGGAGCAAACGTGCCCAGAGAGCACACGACCGTCTTGAGTCAAGTTCCCCGCACCCGGGTCCAGAAGCCACCCGGGGAACAAATTCCTTAGTGACAGCGCTTTTCCCTTGAGGTCTGCAATGCATTTTCTCAGACTCGGCCCTCTCGACCGTATAAACATGTTGACTTTGCAAGGCCCTCCTCACATCTAGCTCTTACTCTGGCTTTGCTGGGTCTCACTGTGCCAATCTGGCCAGTATAGTCGGTTTGGTCAGGTCCCCGTGGAAAGGATGCAGAGGGGGGAAGGGCCATGGAGGGCAAGACCCAGGGGGAAAGCTCGCATCCCAGTCTCTGCTCAGGAGGCCGGTTACTTCCTTCATCCTAAAAATAGTTGGCGGGGGCGGGGGGGGGGGGGATATCGTTCCAAGTTTAAAAAAAAGAAGTGTTTACGCAATGACTTTCGTCTTGCTTCCTGACTGAAACTATTTTGTCAATGTTTTTAAGAGTGAAAAATTATCTTACTGGATGTAGCACATTATTGGGGGTGGGGGCACAAATGCAAGGTATCAGGAAACCACAGCTAAGACAGCATCATGTTGGACACAGAGCCTCTGTGACCGTCACCTAGGCCGGGCGCTGGACCTGGCAGAGCCATGCGCACAGGGCCGGGAAATCGGGACGGCTTTTCTGGGCCCGGCCTCCCTTGGCAGAGGCCCCTCTCCCTCCTCTGGAAAATAATGGGGAAGAACTTCGGTATTTAGTAAGTACTTGCAGCCCAACGCTGACCGTCACAGCAGAGCCCTGAGGAAGCCACAGTGAGTGAGGAAAGAGGGCAGAAAGGTCATCTGGGAGATCACCACTCTGACACCCACAAAATTGATTCCTCCCCAAACGGGGTCCCAACCCTCATTTACAAATAAAATTTCTAACCCATTACTGTAAAAAAATACAAAGAATTGTGAAAAGGACACATCAACTAAGTAGTAAAAATAACACCCTGACTCAGGAACCGGGAGTACAGGAAACAGCTGTAGCACTGAGCCATTAAAAAAAAAAAAAAAATACTTTGACGATTGTGGAATCTCACTTTGTTGGAAAGATTTCCTATCAGCCTTTTTAATATGGAAGATTCTGACCTCAAGACTCAAGACTCAAACTTCACGGGGGCGGCGGTGCTGACAGCCCCGCGGCAGCCACAGTGAGGGAGGGTTACCATACGTACACCAGGGCCTCCCCGAGACTAACAGCGTGGGCTCCCCGAGCCCAGGAGATGCTCACCACACTCTCCTTAGGTAGGCATCTTGGGGACTGGCCAACAGCTATGTCTTTTTTCCGAAGGGGAAACCAATGCAGAGATTCCAACCCCAGTCCCCCAGGGCTACCGGCTCAGGGAGGGACTCTGGCCTGGAGTCCCGGTTTTCTAATTCAAAACTGATCCAAAGCACCCCAGTCCAAAACCATAGCTCTCAACTGCAAGTTAAGAATCATTCACCGGGGGCGGGCTGGCTCCGTCAGTAGAGCACGCGACTCTTGATCTCAGAGTCGTGAGTTCAAGCCCCACATTTGGGCCTGAACATTGGAGCCTACTTAAGAGAGAACAAAAAAAAAAGGAACCCATTCGCTGAAATCACTTTCCTGGGTCAATCACCTGCGGAAATGGGTCCTTTTTATTTTTCTTAAGCTCACCTGTGAATTATTTCACACTTGTATAGCTTCTCCCCTCCCCCCACAAAAGTACACTAATTATTAAGATTTCATTGCTGTTAACTAGAGCAGCACCCTCTAACATAACTTTCTGTGTGGCCTGCGCTAATTAATACAGTGGCCACTGAGTATGTAAATTATGGCCTCAGAAACTGAAAGAACCGTTAATTTTACGGAGTTTTAATTAACTTGAATCTCCATGTTCACATGTGGCCGGTGGTTACCCTCCCGGACAACGAAGTTATGAAAGCAATTTCTCCACCGTGGTCAAAGCCTCTTGATTCCGTGCAGCTACATCTGTATCTGTTCACGGATTTCACCGCAGATCCCCGTTTGTGAATGTGTGCATGTCATCTGGAGAGCTTTAGCTGTCCAAACGTGAAAACTCTTGCCAGGCAGACATGAAAACAGGAACAGCAAGCGTTAAGAGCTGGGCTTCGGGAATCAGACAATCCTCCCTCCGCCCTGTGTTAGCAAGTCAGTGTTCTCTCCGCAGAATAAAAATAATAATCGCCACGCACGCAGCATTAAGTGCACGACACTCAAATAGCTTAAAGAAAATTATTCGATTTGTGCAACAGCAAAACTAACATGTACAGGCCGCTTTACAGTTTTAGGAAAACTTACACAGGCTTTCTGTCTGCACCATACACAGTGAGGACCACGATTTCCATTCCCTTTTCTTACTTTACGTACATGGAAATGATGTTCAGAAAAGCTGCAGGCCTTCAAGGTCAGCAGGGCAGGCCCTTCACCAGTTTAGGCCAAATGGGGCAAAGGTTGGGTTTCTAGCCGAGCAGTAAGTGTCAAGACAAAGTTGGACTCAAGGGCTCTGTCCACCTCTTTGTAGAACCACTGATCCCCCTCCTGACAGTGGGTTCAGGGAAACTCCTGATGCCTTGCCCGGGGGAGGAGCCTACAGCTCCCACGGGGGAAGGTCAGATTAAGACTAACCAGGACCTCGGAGCCGCTCTATCCCTACTCAGCCCATTAAAACGTTCAAACATTCAAGAAGGGTGCGGAAACGTGGGTATGGGTAACTGCCGGACTGATGAAGCCCTGTATACAAGCAAAAGGAAAAGCCAGCCCCAGAAGATCCAGCTAATACTACTTGTCCCAAAGTGCACACTGCCCAGTAAAATACCTAAAAATCTCGGGTTTTGTCCCCCAGGTGTGTGTTCACTTAAGGACTGGAACCCCCTTAAGGGCCATTTTAATAAGTGGGTCAAATGATGAACTTCAACTTTTATCCCGGGATTAGTCATCCGGCTGGGTGATTTTCTGCAGAATCTGCAGCCCAAGTGAACCACTACGATCCTCTAAAATAAAAGTGTCATCTTAATGTCTTTCCTGTGCCATACTCAGCATTCCGGGCCCGCACTCATCGCCTCTTCTCTAGGAATAACAAGTTGGAAACTTTTTATAAAATCGGGGAGAGCCAACTACCACCCGGAAGCCGCCGCCGGGGACCTTCGCAGGGCTCTCCCCTCGCCCCCACCCCTCCCCCTCCCCCTCCCCCTCCCATCCGGAGTCCCGCCCCTCCCCTTCCAGGTTACACCAGGGACTGGGGCGGCGCGTCGGGAGAGAAAAACAGCCAGAAGTCGGGTCGAGCCCCATGTGACCGTGCCAGCCAGAAACAGCAGCCGGAGCAGCAGGCGGTGGGAGTCTGTGTCTTTGGGGGTTCTGCTCCACAACATCCCCGACTAGGGGGGAGTACGAGAAACCCGCCTCCACCTCTAACTTTGTGGAATTTCCAGCGCACTTGGCTCGGGGAAGGCCAGGCCGTGCAGCGAGCCGGGGCCGAGGCCTGACCGCGCGCTCGGGCGGCGCACGTGAAGCCCAGGCCCTACCCCCGAGCGGGCGGGCCTCTAGCGACCCCAAACTGTCATACACCAGGTGGGCACCCACACCCAAAGGCGCACCACACGCCGCTCCCGGCATCGCCCCCCCCCCCGCCGCAGGGACGGTGCCCCCGGGGAGCACAGCCCACGACACCGACCTGGGGGCTCTCGTCCCCCGAGCCCCAGGAGCAACAGGTCTGCACCCTGTCCAGGCCGCGCTCGGCAGACCCCGCCTCGCCAGGGGCGCCCCCCCACCCCCGCCACACACAGACACGGATGTCGCCCTCAGCCGGGTCCCCTCGCTCCTGCCTGGAGCCCCGGACTTCCTTGACAGTTTCCGCGTCTCGGAAACGGAGCAGCCGCCGGGCCGCGCCGCCTCGCCCGCCCCTCACTCCGCCGCGCGCCGCCGCGCTGCCACCCGGTCCCGGGCCGGGCGCCCCTCCCCCACGGGGGGATCCCGCGGCGGCGCAGGTCCGCCCCGCCGGCCCCAGAACCCGCAGACAAAGGGACCCCGGGGGCCGGGCCGGGCGCTCCCCCAAACTTACCGGCCGCCGCCCCCTCCCCACACCGCCCCCCCGCCCCCGCCCCCGGCGCGCCGGCACTTCGGGGAGCGGCCGCAGCGGGGTATTGTTCAGCCTGCAGGGAGCGCGCCGCACCCCAGCCCGAAGCCCGGGCACACTTGGGGACCCGTCCCTCCAGAGCCCCGGCGGCGGGCGCAGCGCGCTGGCGCCCCGCGCCGCCTGCCCGCCGCCCCCCACCCCCGCTGGAGAAGTTTGCGCCCCCCGCCCCGCGCCCGGCCGCCGGAGCCCCGCGCACTCACCTCGCCGCCGGCAGCGCAACTTGTGGCGGCGCCGCCGCGCTCCGAGCCTCCCTGCCGCCGGCCGTCGCCGAGCCCGGGCCGTGCCGCGGCCGAGGAGGGCCCGGCGCCCCGGAGCAGCCG